ATGCAGTGGATATTGTTGGTGATGCTACGGATAAGGATGATGTTGAAGATGATGCTGCTGGTGTTGATGTTGTAGTCGGTTCTATTTAAAAAATGATTTTAGAGTGATACTATACGATTGGATAGGATTTGTTTCTTCTTCTGTAACAATGTATCGACGTTAAATATCAGTTGATTATAATAAAATACGAAATACTTAAATGGTTTCTATTATAACTAATTCTATGATGTTTACTTTAGTTATATCTCTACTATAATAATCGATCTGTGACTTACACATAGATGTGTCCAATATCTCTGTCAAGTTGTCTTAGCTTTCGATAATTTCAGTTTATTTTTAAAGAAGAAAATAACTTTTTCTCTCTCGCAGATATATTTTCTTCTAGAGCTCTTCTATTTTTTACTGACCCGATGGAAATCGTGTACCACTAATAACATTCATACTAGTAGCATCGACATTAACCAACATATTTTCATTTTGGTTCAACATATCAGCAAATAATTCACAATTAGAAGTTGATCGATGAAAAGTGGCTGCTCTGCATTGACATCGAGTTAAACATGCGACTTGACAATTCCTAATGTTTGATGTAATAACATTAATGAATGGTAAACATGTTGTATTGGCACATTGAAATTTAGAATGAGGTATTAAAGAAATTATTATTGATTCTGTATCTTCTCCAATTATTTGTTTTATAATTATAAATAAAAGCGATAAACAAACTCTTGTTGAAGCCATCAGCCACCAGATTCTAAGTTGATGAAATAAATTCAATTCACAACAGAAGAGAGTATTTATTGAGCAAAAAATTCTTTTTTTCTCTCTCTTTTGAGTGGATAGTGCATCGTTTTTCCTAGAACTCATTTCATCAATTTAATGAAAAACAATAGTCAGGACTTTTTTCTCTGCATTCATTTCATCAGTTTAATGAAAAAAAATAGTCAGGACTTTTTTATTTTCAAAAAAACCTGATTTATTCAGAAACATGATTTTCTACTGTGTTTAAATGTTATTCAAGGACAAATATATTTATAAATAGAACTTTTGAGTTATTTGCAAGATGAAAAACATAAACAAGGATCGATCCAACAAAATTGAATTTTATATATTCAAATCTGAATACTTCAAATGTATCAGGTAGACTATGCAATATATCAGTGAACTATCACATCATTCATATAGATTAAAGTCAATCTTTAATATCTAAATGAACAATAATCAGATGAGTTTTGTTTGATTAGACAAGAAAACTGAACACTTCTTCAAAATCAAACATACACAATTTAAGTTTCTATAGCACGAAGTATAACAACATTTCATTAATCTCTCTTTTTGTTATTCTTATATTTTTGATTGATTATAGTTTATAATGAAATAAATAATCATATTTTTCTTCATCAGTGTGAAAATGATCCAAACAGTTACGATTCATATCTATGTAGAATAATGTTAACAACCTATTTATTAGAAAAATTGAAAAATAAACAGTATTTTTAGTATTCTAAACAAAGTTAAATAGTTGTTTATCATGACAACACATTCTAACGTACTTTTTTCTCAATGAAAAATATTCATCCAGTAAATGTTGTTATGATGTTTTATGTGTGCAGAAAAAGAAAAAAATAGTGACAAAATCTTTTCGATTTTTCGCGAAAAAGAGATGATGGCAATAGAGAATTTCTGAATACATCTAAGTTTGTTATAATCATTATAATATAAACTATGTTGTTTCACAGAAAAAGTATATCTAAATAAATAATTATAGCAAGAAAAAGTTAACTTCTTTTGTGAACAGAATACAATATATCTATGATTACACTACAAACACTATTGAACAGTTGATAACACGTCTTTTCTTTCTTCTAATATTTTGTTGAGAAAAAGTATTCTTTCCAAGTTTGAATATATCATGTACAACAACAACAACAAGATATATGATTTTTCCGACAAATAAACATTGCTTTTCTGCTTTTCTCTTTTCAGTGTAGCGAATCTTTTTCTTCTCAACTCATTTCATCAATTTAATCAAAAAAAGTAGTCAGGACTTTTTTTATTTTCAGAAAAAACTGTTTCATTCGGAAACATGATTTTCCACCGTGTTTAAATGCTATTTGAGGACTGATATCTTTCCAAACAGACCTTTTCAGTTATATGAAAAACGATCGATCGAATAAAATTGAATTTCAAAACAAATATCATCAACGTTTAGGTAGAAGTGAAATCTTCTATAAAAATCAAAAACCAAGTTTAGTTGAAATTTAATTATATATTCAAATCTGATTACTTCAAAAGTATCTAATATACTATACAATATATCAGTGAATTGTCATACCATTCATATAGAGTAAAGTATATCTTTAACATTTAAACGAACAATAATCAGATGAGTTGTTTGATTAACCAAGAAAACTGTACACTTCTTCAAAATCATATACGTTCGACTTAAATTTCTATAACACAAAGCATAATAACATTTCGAAAATCTCTCTTTTTTTTTCTTCCATGTTTGATTCATTATGATTTGTAATTCAATAGATAATCATATTTTTCGTCATCAAGATCAAAATGATTCGAACGATTGAGATTTATATGGATGTAGAATAGTTTTAATGAAGAATAAAACATTATATTTATTAAATAAATTGAAACAAAACAGTTTTTAGTATTCCAATATCGATAAAATAGTTGTTTATCATGCCAATACATTCAAAACGTTTTTTTCTTGATGAAAAATATTCATTCAGTAAATGTTTCCCTTATTTTTCTTTCATTTGTATGTTGCTATGATGTATTATGTATGCAGAAAAAGAAACAGAAAACTGGTGAAATCATCTAGAGATGTTATAATTACAATAATAGAAACTACGTTGTTTCACAAAAAGAGAATTGCATAAGAATAAAAAAATGACGGCAACATATAGTTAATTTTTTCTCAATAGGAAACAGAATCTCCATGATCATATTAGAAAAACTAAGTTGATGACACTTCTTTTCTTTGTTCTAATATTGTGTCGAAGAAAAATAGGATAAATATTCTTTCGAAGCTTGAATATAACATATACAACTCCAAGATAAATAAACCTTTCTTTTTTTCTTCTTCAGATTCTAATGACAATGGAATGTCTACTAGAGAATATGTTATACACGAATATATTGACATTTATAAATCTTTGTTTTATCTCCTTCCTTGAGGGTGCGGGTATTTTATCCTTTCCACATTCATATTCACCCACTCATACGCTTTTTATTACTTCTCATTAATAATCATTAATGTCTTCGATTACATTACTTTGTCATATATTTATTTTCTGAATCTATTGCTTCAATAGATTACGAAAGAATATATATATATATTCAAAGGCTTATATCAGGAATTGTTTATATAGTTTCCCCAATTTTTTTATTATTTGAAAACGCACGATTAACGATATAGAAAATAAGTGACATATACATTTATAAAATAGGAAAAAAAAGCAGCACCGGTCACGCATATCATTGATTTATTTATTCTTCAGTTGCTTGATGACTACCACGTAGTGGTCCTCGTCCTCGCATAGGACCTTTTTGGCTTGTACTAGCATTACTTTCACCACGAGCTGATGGATCTGAATATTGATCATAGCCAATAGCTGGTCGATTTGATGCTTCTATAAACAAATATCATCATTGAAAGATCTACTCCTATTTTGCTACATTCAATAGAAACTTACGTAATGCATTTGAACGTCCACGCATTCCTCCACTTTGTGGAAGAGATTGTCTTGGTGCTGCATCCAAATATGGACTCGGCATATGTGCATCCGATCCAGTTAAAATGACCTGTTGCATATCTGGTAATTCAGCAAAAGGCATATAAAATTCACCTGTCGGTAGATTCTGTTGTTCACGTTCACTACCACGTTCAATAAAAGTTTCATGTTGTTCCCAATGATTACTACAAGCAGCACATAAGAAATTAGAATTGAAATTACTGCAGCTACATTCTATATAAATGTAAAAAATATATTAGTAATATATATATGTAGTTTTGAGAAATATACCTTTGCATCGTTTATATTTCGGTTCATGCCGATCATGTGCATGTCCACATCGACATTTAGCACGCCAAGTTGATGGATCAAAACCTGGTCGTTTTGCTAACCAAAATTCACCGACTTCATCAGGTCGCGATGGAATATAAGCAAATCCTTCACATGCACAACCACCTGATTGACATTTTAAACGTCTGACTTTGCCTTTTCATAATCAAATTAAAACTAGTTAATATATTAAAGAATAACAAGAAGAATAGATACGGTTAAATCGTGCATGTTCATCAAGTGTATGACCACAAAAACATTTTCCAATTGATCCAACACGATAACAATCAAAATCTTTGCCTGGTTGTCGATAACTAATATAAAGATCTTGTTCAATAGCATCACGTGCTGCATCAACTTCACTTTGAAACATAGCTTTCGCTTTTGAACCAAAATCACGATTCATTGCTCGAGCCATTGTTACCTTTGAAAATTCAATAATGAATAAAAAATAATCTTAACGTCGATTGCACTTACAACATCTCCTTTAGCAGCCGGTCGAATTACATGTGATGTATATCCTATATAAATATTAGTTTAGATGAGATTTTTTAACATAGAATAAACACTTACCATCAGGTACCATCATTCCATTTTCTTCATGAAAACGAATTGGATTCTGTGCTATACGCTCTATAACATTATTTCTTGAATTTGTTGGTACTAATGACCGATTTGCTGAACCTACAGAATATTTACAATAAATTTAAATATTGAAAAATTACAAACAACCTCTTGGAACTCCAACAGATGACGAACGCTGCGCAGCTGGTGCTCGCTGCTGTTGTCCTCCTATCATAACAAAAAAGAAAAGATAGATATTAAAAAATAAAATAATAAACAAAATATCAGAGAGAGAATATTTCATGCAGCAATATATCAAAGCGAGAAACTATTCCTACTTTAACCTGGTGTCGGACGTTTGCTCATTGTTTAATTGTAATTACGTATTTTAAAAAGTTGTGTCGTAGTATTAGAAATGATGACGCCATCTACTTTTACAACCATCAAGTAAACGTTGCTAAGCAAAAACCTCTACGATAAGAAATGATTTTTTTTAAGATCAAATTTAATTTTTTCAGATTTAATCCATGTTAAGAATGATTCAGGAATTAACTTTCTAACTGTGTAACTAGATGAAAAATTATTTAGTTAATTATTGATGAATTCACCAATGGTTAGCGTAAGAACGCAAAAGAGTTTATAATAAACAAAACAAATGCTGGAGTCGTGGTGATATACATTCATCCTTTACTTTTTTTTTCTTCTTTCTTTAATCAGTTATCAACGTTTAATATTCATTTTATTAAAATCTAGATCAAACAATCAGTCAAAATGCCATCTGTGGGAACACTTGCTTTCGACGAATTTGGTCGTCCTGTGCTCATCCTCAAAGGACAAGAATCAAAAAAACGCCTGTTTGGAATCGAAGCTCATAAGGTTTATAGCTTCTTTTTTAAATTAATTCCTTATTAGAAATTCTATTTTTGAAAATATCAACTAAATAGCTGACTAATCAATTTGATTCAAAAACAGTCCAAAATCTTTTTCTAATGAAATCGATTGAGAGTAGTGTTCTGTTTTTGGCAATGTTGAATTAAAATTCTAATGAGAAATTTAACACATTATTTTTTTTGTCTGATTTTAGTCTCATATTTTGGCGGGTAAAGCAGTGGCTGATACACTTAAAACATCGTTGGGTCCACGAGGTATAAAGAAATTTTTGTTAGAATGAATTCAATTCTATTATTTTTTCTCTCTCTCAAAAGGTATGGACAAATGTATGGTTTCACCCGATGGTGATATTACAATAACGAATGATGGTGCAACCATTCTTAGTATGATGCATGTTGAGAATGAAATTGGAAAATTACTTGTTCAATTATCTAAATCACAAGATGATGAAATTGGTGATGGAACAACAGGTGTTGTTGGTAAGATTTTTCTTTAATTAATTTAATTTAATTATAATTTATTATATTAAATAGTTTTGGCCGGTGCATTACTCGAACACGCTGAAGCTCTTCTTGATAAAGGCATTCATCCAATTCGTATTGCTGATGGTTATGAATTAGCTGCTAAAGTAGCACTTGAACATTTGGATAAAATTGCTGAAACTTATCCACTTGATTTAAAAAAACTTGATCCATTGATCAATACCGCTATGACAACACTTGGTTCAAAAATGTAAAATAGAATTAATTTAATAGAAAAAAATTTATTTCATATTTTCTTTTCTATTTTAGTATTAATCGATGTCAACGTCAAATGGCTGAAATTGCCGTCAATGCAATTATGAATGTTGCTGATATGGAACGACGTGATGTTAATTTTGAACTTATTAAAGTACAAGGCAAAGTCGGTGGTCGTTTAGAAGATACACTTTTAGTTAAAGGTGTTGTAGTTGATAAAACATTTTCTCATCCTCAAATGCCTAAGGTTGGTATTTTAATAGCATGTCTTATATTTATTTTTCTTTACCAAACTATATATTATTTCTAGGAAGTTCGTGATGCTAAAATCGCTATTTTAACATGCCCATTTGAACCACCAAAACCAAAGACAAAACATAAATTAGATATTACTAATGTTGAAGATTATAAAAAATTACGTGAATATGAAAAAGAAAAATTTACTGAAATGATTAAAGCAGTATGTAAAAGAAAGAAAATTTTTCTAAGATCAAATTCTATTTTTTTTTAAAAAGATTAAAGATTCAGGTGCTAATTTGGTTATTTGTCAATGGGGTTTTGATGATGAAGCAAATCATTTACTTCTTTCTCATGAATTACCTGCAGTTCGTTGGGTTGGTGGACCAGAAATTGAATTAATTGCTATTGCAACTGGTGGTCGTATTGTTCCACGATTTCAAGAACTTACAGCTGAAAAATTAGGTTTTGCAGGTCATATACGAGAACTTGATTTTGGTACAACAAGCGAACATATGTTATGTATTGAACAATGTAAAAAATCAAATACATGTACAATCTTTGTTCGTGGTGGAAATAAAATGGTAGTTTATTTTTAAATCAAATGTGTTTATTTATTAAATATAAACTTATATATTTAGGTTGTTGAAGAAGCAAAACGTGCTCTACATGATGCATTATGTGTTGTTCGAAATCTTGTACGTGACAATCGTATTGTTTATGGTGGTGGTGCATGTGAAATTTCATGTGCTATTGAAGTAGCTAAAGAAGCAAATAAGGTTTGAAAAAGAATTTTTTAATTAAATTGAATTTTATATCATTTTTTTTAATTAGATACCAACAATTGAACAGTATGCTATTCGCGCATTTGCTGATGCATTAGAATCTGTTCCATTAGCATTAGCTGAGAATAGTGGTTATTCACCAATTAAAACACTATCGGATGTAAAAGCGCAACAAATTGCACAAAATAATCCACGTTTAGGTATTGACTGTCTTAATACAGGAACAAATGGTAAGTTTATTTGATTTTATATTAGATTTAAATAATTATTTATATTTTTTAATTAGATATGAAAGCACAAACAGTTATTGAAACACTTATTGGTAAACGTCAACAGATCAGTTTAGCAACACAACTTGTTCGAATGATTCTTAAAATAGATGATATTCGTTTACCCGGCGAAGCTGAAGAATAATCAAAATAAGAGAATGATATTGAACTTAGAGTGTGCATGCGTGTTTTCCAGTGTGTGTTTAGGAACATGTTTTTCTTTTTTCTTTTTTTCATCACTTGACGTGCTTTTATATTCAACCCGTTGTTACTCATTATTGTTGTTGTTGTTGTTGTTACTCTGACACTTTTTTCTTGTTAATGATCAAAACGTTTGATAACTCTTTCATGCCACTATGGTTAATAACAACATTGAACAAAAAAGACAAGACTATCTTAATAGAATCGATTTTAATAATGATTAAAAATCTTTGAATGATCATGTCGATACATTTTGCAATGATATTTAACATGAGAGAATTTATTGTTTCATTTTTCAATTCAGTCTGACAATGTTTCCCCTTATTTGCTTCTGTTTCTTTTAGATTAAGTATTCACGGCCACAATGGGTTCCAATGCAAGTATTATGTTGCAGCAAGAAGATTTGCAGAATATATGTCAACAGACAGGTTAGTAAAAGAAAATCAATAGAAGCTTCATCTATTGAAATTGTCTAATGATTTATTTTTTAGGTTTCACCGCTAAACAGGTACAACGTTTATATAGCCGTTTTAAGACATTGGATAAACGTGATTGTGGATTTTTAACACGTGAAGATCTTTTATGCATTCCAGAAGTAATTTTATAATGATATTTTTTTCATTTCATAAATTATTTTCTATTAATATAGGTAAATATTAATCCATTAGGAGAACGATTAATTGATGTTATTATGGATGATTACGGTGAAAATAATAAAATTAATTTTAAACAATTTATTTTTCTTCTTGCTAAATTTCGTCGTGGAAGAGTTAAATCATCGACAACAGAATTTAATACACGTGATAGTAAACTTAGATTTTTATTTGATGTAAGTAATAATAATACGCAAAGAAGAAAATATTAATAAATATAATATTTTCCTCTTTTAGATGTATGACAGAAATCATGATATGAAAATAGATCGAGAAGAATTATTACAAGTTCTTAAAATGATGGTTGGTGGAAATATTCATGATGATCAAATAGCAACAATTGCCGATCATACAATCGGTGAATTGGTAATTGAAGAAAAAAGCAAACGAATTTAGAAAAATAGATTAATTTAATATTTTTGTTTTCTGTTTAGGATAGTGACGGTGATAAATCAATCACATTCGAAGAATTCTGTAAAACACTCGAACGTATTGATGCAGATGATAAGATGAGCATGAAGTTTTTAAGCTAAACACAAAAGATAAGTATTCATCAATTTTGCTATTATGTATTTACAATAATTTTTTTGCAACTATAACTATTCCATGTGTATTTATTGTTTTTTTTGTTATATTTACTACTCATCAATATGACTATGGTTTTTAAGATTTATGTAGCGTATAGAATTATTATTCTCATGTTGTTGTTGTTATTATTATTATTATTTTTTAAAAGATTATTTTAAGTGTTTATGTAAAAGAGTAACCACTATTTAAGATGTACTTTTTTTTCTGTTTTCGATTGTCATTATTTCTTAAAAGATGATATCTCGTAGAGAAACCAAAGAATAAAGAAAAAGATTTTTAAACAAACATATACTTTTATGATGATTAATATTTTACATCAATATAGAATATTCTTTATTGATAAGTTATCTCAACGAAGGGACTCGAAATCGATAAATCGAAAAGCTATGATTGATTGATATTATATATAAGAATATGTCGATGTTAAGTTAACATTGAGAAAAGAATGCATACGATGGTAATATTTTTTCATGCAATTACGATATGTACAGAGAATTATATTGTTTTTAGGAATTTTATACATAAATAAAACATACTGTTGAATATTTCAAATACCTTCTTACAAAATATTTCTACTATTGGATCATGTAAGAGCATCTTTTAGATGACAAACTTGACTATACTCAAGGCATGCATCTGAATAATCAGCAAGAAAAAATATTATAAAATGTAGGAATGGATTGAATGCATGATTATTTATGTATTGAGGAATGTGTCGCAGTATTCTTATATTCTTTTACCCACCCTCAAGATTGTTTGATATTTAGTATTTGGATTACGCCATGAAACACTGTCACATATTCGTATAGAATATTACATTTCAATACTTACTGTTCAGATCGATGCTGAGGTTCATCTAAAAAATATATGAAGGTACATCTGCCTAGCTTTTATAAACCACAATCGGCCGCAAAGACCTTAACAATTGATAAGAAAAGAAAGAAAAGTCGATCAGGTAAAGCAAAACGTGTTTTGCTGATACGATAATTCATTTCGATTTCTTTTTCTTTGATTCTGTATTATACTTTATGGATAATCTTGATTGTGAACATCATCATTCTCTTTCGACGAATTCTTATATGTTAAATAAATTTTCTTAAGTTCGTATGTTTTTACTAATTAGACTGATCATGTTCACTTAGTTGTTAATAAAAAGACAAAAAAAGCATAGAAATAAAAAAAAGAATAACTGCGAGAATATGTCAACAAAAATGCAAAAATTCAAGAAAAAATGTTAATTATTTGTTGCTGATTTCTTTTTCGATTTTTTACTATTGGTATTGTTGCCTGACGATGATGGTCCATTAATAAAATTAAGTAAATCATCGATACTTTTATCACCTTGATGACCTGGTATTAATTCAGCACGTGTTGTATCATGTTTCTGATTTTTCTTCGCTTTTCGTTTCATTAACATTTCATTTTTAGCAGCTGCTGCTGCTAATTGTTCATGATCTTCATCGAACATATGTGGATAATGATGATGATGAGATGGATCATTACATGAATGAGAATGTTCATGAGATGATGAGGCATTATATATCGGTACACTTTTAGTTGTTGTTGTTGTGTGTTGACTCATTGATGATGTGAGAGTATCACTATTGTTTTCAATATCTGTTGCAGCCATTGATTATCTGAAATTTAACATTAAATATTTAAACAATTCTACAAAAACAATTCTACATTTTAAAGCAAGAGAATACTAATAAAAAAAATGGCTATGTTTACAAATTTTTCCTAAGTAATAACAATGTTTTCTTTGATATTCCTCGCATTGCTATTGTTGGAATATTTATATCAAATAAAACATATAATTCAAAATATTCTTGTTCACGAAGAAAATAACATTTATGTTCAATTTGTTCATCATCATTCAACATATACATTTCATTCATTTTTGTTTCATTTTTTGAATTATCATATGGTAATAATTTTTCTTTTTCCATTCGAACGATTTCCATATAAAATTGTCTTAATAATCCATAACGATGTTTTTTAATTGATATTGATAATGGCATATTTTGTTTTAATGGTTCTAATGTACTTGCACAAAAATGTGTTTGTCGATTAATATATAAAAGTGCAAGAATATTATGATCAAAAATAATATCATCATGAAATGCACGTGGATATAAAAGACTATTTAAATTTTGTATATGTTCAATACGAGAATGACAATATCGTTCAACAATATCTTCAAATTCACTCATTTTTGGTGTTGATGAACAAAGAATGGATACATATATTTGACCAAGTAATCGAACAGATACTAAACGATAATTACGTGAACGATCGATTGAATCAAGATAGACAGGCATATCACGAGTAGTTGGTAAAATATCATTTGAATAATCATTTAATGTAATAAGAAGTGTTAAAATATATTGTTCTGCTTGAGTTAAACGTGACCATCCTGTACTTGATGCAATTATACGATTTGATAGTGTTATACAAATATGTTCACAATGTAAATGATCAGATATAGATTTTAAACATGAATACATTATACTGAAAACAAAAAGAATAATTAATATTAATCTAATATGGAAATATAATAGTGACACTAAATTATTTATCTGTTTCGATTTTTCAAAGTGAAATACTTATTTTGGTAACATAGATACTCTCATTTAACAGTAATATAAAAACTTACTTTCGATCAAAACCACAAAGTGTATCAGCACATTGAGTTAAATCTCCAAAAGAAAATGTTCGTTCATCATTTAAAATCGTATCAACATAATATTTAACTAGATGTAAATCATTTTCTAATTTTTGTGGATTTGTTTGACTTTTTTGATCAATATATTCATATCCAATAATCATATTAAATAAAGTTCGTAATAAAACTAATTTATATTGTGTACATTCATTTGGTATATCATATTCTGTTGGTTCTAATAAACACATTAATAAGTGTTCATTATATTCATAAAAATGTATTGTACAATCATCTGTATGACATGAACGAAGTTGTATACCGAATTTCGTTGAAAATGTATATGAACTTGTTAAAATTCCAATTAATGCAAGTGGAATTTGATTATCTGTTGGTCGTTCTAAGAGATTTAGAATCATCTCAGGTGAATGTTCATTTCGTTCAAGTATATTTGTTGAACGAACAAGTAATGGATGACCATTATTGGTATTTATAAATATTAAACAATAGGCCATTAAGATTAAGATTTACATATAGAATAATGTAAAGATGATAATCTGAATTAGTAATGAAATCAATCGGCCATCATATCTGCACAATGTCTTGGATATATTCGGATTCGACAATAAAAACAAACGAGTTAAATAAAAGAGGTCGTAAGATGTTGAATCATTGATAAAACATATTTTACTACAAGAAAAACGATAGAAATTGAAAAAAAGCATTGAAATATCATAATCTGATTTCGAACTATTACTTCAAAGAGAGTACATCGACTATTTCATCATTATCATATCTATTTTTCGATAGATTTTATTTCCTATTAACTATTTTATGATAAGACTAGTAGAGATACACAGTAAGGAACAGATTTCTTAGATATTTGATCAAGCAAACACTTCATTAATTGATATTTGTAGATTTAGTTATGATCACGAATTTCGTCTATCGGTTATCATCAATGAAATCGAATTTATTAATAATTCGCAAGTTTAATATCAATTAATTTATAGTTATAGTTCATAAAAAGTAAATTAATTATGTTTACAATAAGAGAACAGAAGGGAAAGAGTATAGTTTCACTAAGAAAAATAACTCAAATATCTACAGTTTGATATTTATACATTTTAATAAGAAGTGATATCATATGATAGAGGTCGTAGATTGATGAACTTCATATCGAGCATGCATATGATTGGAGGACAATAAGTAAAATATAAGGAAATATATAGATACTATTAGTATCAAGAAGCTAAATCTATAGTTCTGTAAACTATTACTTCATTACTTTTGAAAAAATGAGTAAAGTTTTCAAATGACATAATTTTGATTTATTTTTTTTTGCACTTCTTATTGAACTTTCGTTTTAGATAAAGTATTAGAAAAATGGGTGATAGTGATGATGATTTTGATAGCCGACGAAATCGAGATAAATTTCGTCGTGAACGTGACGATTTTCGACCTAATCATAATCGAGGTGGTGGTGGTGATTGGAATGATGGAAGGTAAGTTGAAATCAACACTTTTTTCTTATTAAGAGGAACTATTTTTCATAATCAACAGTCATATACAACTAGATTATGATGAAGAGTACGTTTGTGCTAATATTTGCCATTTCTTATTTTTGTTTTTCTCTTATTGATAAAACCGATACTATAATTTCTTAAATTTTAGAGATCGATCGAATCAATTTCGAAGACAATATCCAGGTAGTGGTGGACCACCACCAGGACGTGATTTTCCACCTCGATATAATCGAAGTCCTGGTCGATACGATATGAGTCCACCACCACATAATAAACGTCCTCGTCGTGATTGGTATAAGTTTATTTATTTTACAAAAAAAAACGACAATCTATTTTCATTTAGGGATGGTCCTGAACAACCACCAGCACATTTTGATGCACCTGGTGGTCCATCATATTTTCATGGTGGTGGTGGTGGTGGCGGTGGAGGTTTTCATCCAAATTTCCCACCAAATGTTCATCCATCTGCTGATTCATTTAATAAGTAAAATCGACATATTTTTTATATTTTAATAATTTCATTTATTTTTTTAAAATAGAGACTCACCTGATGGTGCAACACAACCACCGTTGTCAAGTTTTAAACATTTTTTACAAGATCAAGATGATAATATTGATCAAGAAGAAGCAGTAAAGCGTTATAATGATTATAAAACAGATTTTAAAAAAACTCAAATTGGAGAATTTTTTACAGCACACAAAGATGAAGACTGGTTCGTAGAATAAGTTTTTCTTTTAACTATATATTTCTTTTATTAAAACTAAGATAGCATATGTATTATTATTCTTCTTCTAGTGAAAATAATTTATTTACCTACTGTATTCAATAATCTACATCAATATATATATATATCTTTTTCTTGCGCGTATATATTTCTTTTTCATTGCGCATCGCTATTAGATTCTTCCGGTTAAAAAATCGGAAATCTATATCAAAGAATAATTTTGTTTTTCGTATAAAAACAACGCTCTTTCTAAGCGTATTCGTTTGCGCATTTCGCTATTATTACCGATAATCTGTATATTTACTCTTATTTCTTTCTTGCGCGTACGTAATACAATATATAATGGATAATTTCTGACAATGATTCATCTTTGAGAAGTACCGTAAGTGTATATTTCAATTAATCTATAAATTAATAGAAGAAGAAGATTTTTTTTTCTTTGATTTCAATTGAATAGTTGAATAAATTATTTTATTTAGGTTTAAACATAAATATCATCCAGATGAATATTCAAAACGACGTGAAGAACAAAGAGAAATTATTAAAAAACGATTGGATGTATTTATGGAATTATATAATAAAAATTATTTAGATGATGTTAGTGTTGATATTGATAATCAACGTGCACTTACAAAATTTCTTGATGCTGGTAAGATAGATTTAAAAAATACCCACATTTAAGTATTCTAAATATTAAATTGGTTTATTTTATAGTTGTTATTAAATTGGAAGGTGGTACAGATCATGATCTTCGCGCACTTGATGTTGCACCATCATCTAGTAGTACAACTAATGAAAATGATGATGGAGATGATGATATACCAAAGCAATCATCTAGTACTACTGGAATACCAAAATCAGAAAAAACTGATAGTTCAACATCAGTAATAGTGAACGATTCAAAGAAATCTCCAGAACAAAAAGTAGGATATATTTTAATCTTAAAACAAAAAAATAATTCGATATTAAATTTTAGCGAAAGCGAGAGGGTAGTGTTTCCGATGATGGAGCCGTGTCTGATGGCGGAGATGATGAAGATGATGTTGCTAATGAAAAAGTAACAAATAATATTAAGAAAGAACCAGTAAAAGAAGAAGAATCAAATATAAAGAAAGAAAATGGAACTGTAACTTGTAATAAATAATTTCTTTGTATGATTATCGATCTTTTATAAATTAAGTTTTGATATTTTCTAGCTGAATCAAAAGAAAATAATGAAGTAAAAATATCTTCAGAAGATACTGAACGAGAAGCTGGTGAAGTACCTGATGCACCACGATCATTACATCGCACATTATCAATCTTCTTTCGTCATTTAGCTATGCAAACAACAAAAGAAGATCTTGAAAATGTAGGAATTTTGTTTTTGAAATACAAAAGAATTAATTCTTTTTTTCCGTTTGTGATTTAGATGTGTAAACAATATTCTGGTTTTCGTCGTGTTTGTATAACAGATCCTGCACCTGAAAGAAAATTTTGTCGACGTGGTTGGGTTACATTTGATCATTCAGTTCAAATTCGTAGTATGTGTTATGAACTTAATTCAACAAAAGTATATTTCTTTTTTCTTCTCTCTCTCTCACCCTCCCTATAATATTTTATTTATTTAGTTACATGATGTTGATGTGGGAGCAATTATTAATCGTGAACTTAAAAATCGTATACGTACTATAAATGGAATTGGACAACATAAAACAATTGTACGAAATGATCTTCGACTTATAACAAAAATAATTCAACAATTAGATGATCGATGGAATATTTGGGAAACATCAAATAATGAAAATATTAAAAAAGAAATGGAAACAACATCAACAGATGATTCCGAAATATCTTCATCAACAGCAGCATTAATTCTATCACCAATTAAAAACAAACGGCCCATTGGTTTTGTTAGTCAAAATCCATTATTAAAAAATATAACTGAATATTTAGTTGAAGAAGCTGATGCTGAAGAAGAAGAATTACTTGGTGATAGAACAAATCAACAAGGTGATTCGAATACATTTGAAATTGATAAAGAATTAACAAAAGTAAATATTTGAATAATTTTATTTTCTATTACAAAAAAATTCGTTTTTTCAAGGTACTTGATCGTTTAATACTTTATTTACGTGTTGTTCATTCAATTGATTATTATAATGGAACAGAATATGCTCAGGAAGATTCAATGCCTAATCGTTGCGGTGTTATTCATGTACGCGGTGCACCATTATCATCAATAACAGAAGCTGAATTAACAAATTTTATGCAACAATTTGAATCACGTTTAAAACCATTTATTGAATTTCGAGAAAAATTAGATGATGATGAAGCAAAAAAATTAGGTGCAAAAAATGAACAAGATGAAGTAGAAAAATTTATTAATGCTAATTGTCAAGAAGTTGGTAAAGATAAATGGTCATGTCCATTAAGTGGAAAGAAATTCAAAGGTCCGGAATTTGTTCGAAAACATATTTTAAATAAACATCAAGATAAAATTGATGAAGCGAAAAAAGATGTAATTATTATCAAAAAAATTTAGTTTCTAGACAAAAATAAATCATTTGTTTATTTAGGTTGTTTATTTTAATAATTATTTATATGATCCAAAACGACCACAATTACCAGAACATCCATCATCACGATCAGGAGCATCATTAACTGGATCTCATCCATCAGGCTTACCATTACCGACACCTTCAGCAGGAATGCCTGTTCAAGGATTAATGAATCGACCACCAATGTGGCCATCAAGTATTTATAAGATAAATGGATATATTTTTTTTAAATATTTATATTGATTTTAGTGTCTGGACCAAACCATTCTGGCCCACCAGGTCATTACTATAATCAATTTCGTCATCCACGACCAACATTTATGTATCAAGGTCCAGGTGGACCAATACATCGACCACCGTAAGTTTTTTTTCTTTTTTTATAAATAGAATAGAAAAATCTATTCAAAATTCAATATAGAAATATTCCATTAGATATGTTAATGTCTCCAGCGTAAGATAGTCATTTAGTTTTGCATATATTATTATTTCATTTTATTTTTCTTATATATATTATAATATAAAATCTATATTTAGAATGAATCGACAATTAAAAAGTTATGAAGATCTTGATGCACCAAATGAAATGTTACTTTAATTCGTTAAATCTATGAAAAAATTAGACAAATAAAATATGTTATCTTTTTTTTCTTTTGTTTCAAATATTATGTGCAAAAAAAACAAGAAAACATTTCAAAAGCGTTCATTGTTTTTTTTCTGTTGTTGGATAAAAATGTATTCATCCTCACCTTTTTTTTTGTTTTTGTTTTTCTCTTTCTTGTGTTTCGTAATCTTATTCACATAAAATATACAAACAAAAGTTAAATAAGATCTTATATTAATGTCTTTAGATGAATATAGAACGTCAAATAAATGAATTTGTTTTACCAGGTGATACAATTGCACTTTCTTCTTTACCTAGTCCACTTGATTCATCAAATTCAGTAACACTTGGTCCAGGTTTACATTATGATAAACATACAGGTGCATTTACTTCACATTCATGTGGTCATATACGTGAACCATCATCATTAATATACTATATTGATGGTCATCGTCCTGCTGTATCATCATTAACAAGTGGTGATCTTGTTCTCGGTATAGTTGTACGTCGTCAACTTGAATCTTTACTTGTTGATATTGGTTATAATGAATTAGCTTCTTTATCGTTATATGATTTTGAAGGTGCAACAAAACGTACAAAACCTAATGTTGATCGAGGTGATATTATTTATGGTCGATTGAAAATTGATGGTGAATGTCAACCACAAATAATATGTATTAATGAAGATGGAAAAGCAGATGGTATGGGTATTTTAAGTGAACATGGATATGTATTTGATATACCAGTTGATGTAGCTAATGATTTAATTGAACATAATAATCTATTAGAAGAATTAGGAAATGAAATGCCATATGAAATAGCTATTGGAGCTAATGGACGTGTTTGGGTAAAAGCAACAACAACAAGAACAATGATTGCATTGAGAAAAGTCTTATTAGAAAGAGCAAAAAATAAGATGGATATTAATCAATTGAAAACACTTTTTGCCCAAAGTCTTGTTTCATGATTCTTGTTCAATATACAAAATTAAAAAAAGAATAGATTCTTGAATTTTCTCTCTTTATTTTTCAGTTAGACGTCAGTTTGACAGTCTAATAATACAACAATAGATCAGATTATATCTATACTAAAATCAATCATAGTTGAAGTAAACTATACAGGCAGATATTGAATCCGTTAGATCAGTTCTATGACAGAAATGAGTACAAGTTTCGTTATTAAATATAAAATTTTATTTTTAGATTTTTTCATGATGTTACTTCGTTTAACATCTCGTTTATTTGTTTCATCACCTATACTTTCATCATCATCAACATATATTCCAATTCGTTTAGCTAATACATTTATTGATGAAGAATATATTCGTGAAAATGTTCCATCAAATAATCAATCTGTATCATCAACAACTCTTAAAAATCCTTCAAATAATGAAACGAAATCAATGACATTTGCAAAAATGTTTCGTCAATCAAAATTTGTTCAATTAGGTGATTTAAAAGGACGTTTATTAAGTGGACGTATTGTTGATGTTATTGATGATGATTTGTATGTTGATTTTGGTGGAAAATTTCATGCTGTTGTACAACGACCACAATCAAAACAACGAGATCAATATACTATTGGTGCAGTTGTTTCAATACGTGTACAAACATGGGAAATGGCAGCAAGATTTTTAGGTGCATCAAGACATATATCATTATTAGAAGCTGATGCTCAATTAGTTGGATTATTAAGACGAGTTGATCGAACAGTAAAATCACGTAATAAAGATATCGATTTAAGATATCGTTCTGGTGATAGTCAAGCACCTGCTTCAATGAAACGAGAAATTCTTTAAAGTTTTATGTCAGTTGTTCTCATATGTATGTTTTTTTTCGAAATAAACAGTAGGCTATTTAGGTCACTTGAAAAACAAATAAAAATATTTCATACTAATGATTTTATAAACTTTTATCGTCATTCGACTGTCATATTTCCTATATATTACCATCTAAATTTCACATAACCGTTAATTTTATATCATACACAGCATTTATAATCAAATCTAAATAGGCAAAAACACGGTACACTATCTCTGCTAATTTTTATTTCAAGATTATTCTATTAAACGTAAAACAAATGGGAGAAACAGCAACGTTTGGTGTTGGTTGTTTCTGGGATCCCGATGCTCGATTTGGAAGTTTGGATGGTATTTTAACTACTCGAGTTGGCTATTGTGGTGGCACATCCTCTACAAAACCGACTTATAAATCGATTGGTGATTATACAGAAAGTGTACAAATTGATTTTGATCCAACACGCATCACTTTTGCTCAATTACTTTCCTATTTTAATCAATGGCATACACCAAACTCTCCTAAGACACGCGATCAATATGCAGCAACAATTTTTTATCATAATGATGAGCAACAACAAGAAATTAATAAAATGAATATAGAAAATGTACGTGTAAATAAATTTAATAAATTTCATGAAGCAGAAGATTATCATCAGAAACATAATTTAAAACGAACAATATTGGAAACGGATATATTTGGTAAAAAAGAAGATTGGGAAAATAGAGATAAACAAATGATTACTAAACTTAATGGATTTCTTGCTGGTTATGGAACGAATGACTACTTTCAACAATGGGATAAACGTCGAGAACTTACTTATGAGCAACAAAAATATATTAAAGATAAACTTAAACAATAAGTTTATAGTTCAGATCTTCATAACGAATTCATTTCGTTATTTAATCTTAGTATAAATAAGATCTTTCTCATATACTATGAATATGTCACCTATCATATAGTAATAATCAATAGATTTCTAGATCTTGTATAGATATGAATCAACTAGGTTATATTCTAATATTAACAATCTACACATAATTACGTCGATTAGTTAAACGATAATATCAATTGAATTAGTTTTCTTGTTTAAACTATGTAATAGAAAAGATACCCACGAAGAAACAATACTATTTCGATTCTATGACTATTTATAAGTATATGATTTTCATGTATGATTACAAAAATATTAATTGGAAGCATTGTTACCTTTTGAAAAATTATACGAATTAATGGACCATAATAATATTCGGAACAACTTCACGATTGATATTATAGAACTCATTCATGATATACATATTAGTAGATTAGGATACGATTATGGGATCATCTTTCAAATGAAAGACGAACGACACTCTCGACCAGTGGTATTTTCTTCATATAATTTGCTTGCTAGTCAACGGCATTTGCAGGCTACCATTGAGATATAATTCATTACCTGTTTGAATTAATTATCATTTTTCTTCACACACACTTGATTGATAAGTAGAAGAATTAAATTATTTGACTACTCACTTGTCTAGACGAATGTTTCAGTACAGATCGTATTATTTTTTTCAATGATGTTATACTTTTGCACTAAAAATCTCAATGTTGAGTATCAATCTTTAGACTAAAAGATATTTGCTCACTGATGATATTGATCTCAATAGTTCGGGCCATTCTTTGTATGTTTCTGATGCGAAACTAGACCTCACTCCTTTCTTCAGGTAATATTCGACGCGGACTAGTCGATTTCCGAATAAAACAATGATCTTCATTGTCCAATATCTGACAGCATGACCGCCGTCCGTCAAGATCGCCTAAAGTATTCTATATATGTAGTGGCGAAAAAGCATCTATCGTTTCTGTTCTTTTCGAATAATTTGACCCAGTGTCACTGGTATTGTTGTTTACACGTTACAGGGAGATAAAGTTGAATAAGGTATGATCTTGAATTCAATAACAGAAATTGACGCAAGACGAAATGTTTGTTTTTATTTAGTTTTAAAGTATACTTTAGATAATATCCAGACATATACATGGCTTATTTTGATGATTTGCCCGATGAATTATTACTTATTATTTGTTCTTATCTGACACCATGTGATGTGCTCAAAGCATTTATGGATTATAATGATCGTTTATCTGATTGTATTTCTAAATATCGTACAGACTTCGATCTAACAAAGTGTTCCTATACTGAATATAAATATCTGATGAATCAGATGCATAAATCAAAACTTCAACCATCTACCTTAAAAGTCGGCAATACCAAAATTCTGACACAGATCGAACTTTTCTTGTCCGAAAGTATTACGTCTACACTCTTGTGTGATAATGTACAATACCTAGAACTGTTCCATTGTACTGAAGGATGTATATCTTCTGTAAATATGTACCTTCAAAATTTTCGTAACTTAAAATCTCTTAATATTGCTCAGGCAAGATCTCCTTCATCTTCGTCATATATTAACTATTCGGTCATTAGCAGTTTGCGTAATTTAATCTTTGCTAATGAATTTCATGCACTAACTAAACTTCACTTAATTACAGAAACAGGCATAGTTTTAGACACGCGACTATGTCCAAACCTAAATCTTCAATACCTAACCGTATCATTGAATACAATCGATGATCTTTTCGTTCTATTAAACGGTATGGTACCCAATTTAATCACACTCGATGTCATAATATGTCATTCTCGTAGTCGTACTCGATCACCATTACCCTCAATGTGGCCACGCCAAATAATGTGTTACATGACGAAATTCCATCTAACTATTAAGAAACAAGTTCATTTCTCTTTTGATCTTCTACAAGATATTGTTACACCACTAACCCAACTCAAGCAATTTTTGGTCTGTGTTCAGGAACCAATGAGTGATGGTCGCTTTACACAAGGTGATCAGATCGAGATGTTTTTGAATAAATTCATGACTCAACTACAAGATTTTCTCTATTGTGTGATGACAAGCTGCCCAGTTGTTATGCAGGTAACTGACATGCAAGAAATTAAGTATTTAATTGCTGATAATATTCACCTTTTCTTTGTAGTCTTTTGCTCAACTAACAAAGCGATGGCCAATGGCATGTCAAATAACACTTGATCATTCATGCATATGTGTGCACACCATACCATGTATATTTTACGAATGTAGTCTATCAATGTTAGCCGAAGACGATACTACCAGTATATGTCCGAAAGCTGATTCACTGACAATCGTTGGACCTTATCATGATATGAATTTATCTACTCGGTTTCCTAATATTCATACTCTTACCGTTCTGACCATCGAAACACTTGATCTTCATAAGTTTCGTCGACTTCGACATCTAATTACAGATAACATGGGATTACTTCCTCACCTTACACCACGCATTCACACATTAACATTGATCAATAAAAATGGTATTTACTTATCGCCAATTATTTACTCATATGTCCATCATCTGACTATTTCGAAATTTTTTGTCAATAATCCAAACACAATTACTTCGATTCAACGATATTTTCCCAATCTACATTCTTTAGACATTCAATTTGTATCGAATCCAACGATATTTCGTGACAGTCTTGATATTCTATTTGATGCTCGACAATGGCCTGATTTTAAATTACTCCGTACAAATTGGGTTGATGAAGATTTTTACCACTATCATCTCATCAAAATATGGCTTTCTGACAATACAGAACTGAAATCAAGATCAGATGACTTTTATGCACATTGTGATGGTCAATCTTTGACTGTTTGGCTTTGATCACTTTTGTCTGTATTTCAGAAAACATGAAAACTTACGATAATATTTTGTAAATAAAAATTGTCGGTGATAATTTTGCTCTGATGCATTTCTTTATTGAGTAAATAAAATAAAGAACTTGGTATACATTCTTATTGAGATAGATCAGTTACTAACTATTCATGAAAAGCATGGTATTGCTCTGGTTTTTTTGAGTGCTATAGATTTAGAGATTAATATTCTCGTGTCGTCATAAAATAAATTAAATGTAATAAACATTTTTATGTAAACTGTTGAATATTGATCTGTATTTATCGAACAAATGAACAAAAAAGATTTATATTATTCCATTTATATCATTTCCTGTATATTTAGTTTGTCTATGATATATTGGACATATCTTAGATTCATTAGTCGGCTAAAGTTCATAAAAAAAAACGTTTTCGGGATAATTTCAATAAGTTTTATTATTAGAACTCTTTGATTTGAATCAAAATACGGAACAAACTAGGCAAAGAATTTTTTTGTTTCTTCTATTTTGCTGATGTACTTGACGGGATCCAAAGATCACGTGTGCAAGCAACGTGCTGTATTTCTTATCTCTTTAGCTTATGCAAGACTTATTTATCCATGAGTTACAGAATTCAATCATTTCTTATTATACTTGATTATGAGGCATATATGTAGAATACCTAAAAAATCATGTTATTAAGACACTAATGAACATCTCAATAACGATTCTAGCAAATGAGTATCTATAGAAACACGGCGACAGTGAATAATTTCTACATTACTATAATGATACCGATAAGAGCATCTTATTGTTTTATAGATCGAGAAAAATAATGAACAAAGAAAAAAAAGTCAATATATCAAAATAAAATGTAAGTCATCCAGTAAACTTCTAAGAATTATGTGGAGTTCATCCTTATCTACTTGTACATTTCTATACATTAAATATAAGATAAAGACTGTAAAACAAACAATAACAATACTTAGATAAAATACATTAAATAAATGAAGGCGAAAAAGCTGATATATAAGAATGTGTCTTATAGAATATAAAGTACAAAAATCTATATTGTAGGAACTATTAATTTTGTGTATGGAACAGCCATGGAAGATACGTATATATGGATGAACTTCGTATAGCATTCAGATGTCCAATTGATGATTTATGTTTTATTTTAATTAATTGAGTCTTTTTCACTGTACATTTTTTTCCTATCTATAAAAGAATAAGATATTCTTACTGATGTCCTTAATGTTACTTAATAAAGTTTTGTCTATAATTTTGTCTGTATGTATATAGTGGAGAACATATCTTGATTTTTAGTGCAAACGTTAGTCTGTTGTGTTCGATCATACAGAATTCAATGATTCATTCAAATGTTGAAGATAAATTCTTCTTTAAATCTACATCTTCTATTTTACTAAGTTTATAAAATTTATATTTGTTCGATTGACACATTTGTCTCTTCTCAGCCACCATTGTAATACAATTATTTTTAATGTTTAAACAATCGATGAGGCAGCGTTAGATAATAATTTTGTTGCATTATAATCAACTGTAATAGATTGTAAAAAAGTACTTATGTATTATACTAATAAAATGTGATTTTTGTTCAAAAACCAATCTCATCATTTAAAAAAAAATATCAAAGTAACGACGTTTTATTTTATGTTGATGTTTCTTATTTTTAAATCTCTGAAATATTTTTGCATATAATTTTCATAATTATAATACAGATGGTTAACCTTGAGTATAGACAGAAACAGAATAGAAATCTATTTAGTATACAATTATTTCTCTATTTACTTGTTTATTATAGTTATAATCTTTACCAACTGCAAAATATGATTTATGCAGAAAACATTAATTGATCAATTTTTGTGGAATACATTCAGAGTGTAAATTGAAAGAAAAAAAACATTTTTTATGGATTCTATTTTTTATGAGAAAAAATCTTTATTTATTTCTGGATTTAATTACTGATAAAATATTCATTTAATATATATTTTATTTTATTTTCATAGTGTTTAGCAGTATCAACAATTCAAAGGAAATTCGTATTTTTGCACAAAATATTCTCCATTATAAACGTACTGTTTTCAAACATTATAGTATCTATTTATAAATTGATTATCTTATTTACTCGGGTCATGAATAAGTAAAAAAATTGTTTTTATCAGAATATACTGCGTACTCCATTAGTGTTGTATATCAATACCCTGAAGAAATTTAGATATATTGTCATAGATTTTCTTGTGTAATCTCTACGTAGACACACATAACTCTCTATTCCTATTATGTTGCTGTTACTGCCTTTTTTTTATTCTATTCATTTGCGTATTCTCTCAACACTCGATGTATAAACATCAACAAAACGAGGAATAGAGCAATCTATAATAGCATCAAGCCAATAAGTATATGCCGAGGCGGACAGCAGTACATGGATTTATACAGTTCATCGTTCTATGCATAGACATATATGTATATATATATATATATAGATATATATCTGTACAATGATGTTTTCCTCTCCTCTTACGGTACCATTATAGATATCCATATAAGGAAATACTCGTTCTCTTTTTCTGTACAGAAAAACCGCAGATATTACTAAATATACCCTCGTATATATCCTAATACGGTATACGAGTACAGCCGAGAAAACAAGAGAAAAAAAAGAGAAAAAATATAGCCACTATATAACTTTAGATCTTTTCCATCATAAGCTTGCCTTCTGTGTCGTAAAGATTCACCGCAATATTATCAACAATATTTATTATTCATATTAAGTAAAAATGTGTGACGAAGACGTTGCTGCTATTGTTATTGACAATGGATCGGGTAAGACAAAAACTTTATACATAGAAAATTGAAAATATTTCTTCTTTGTTTTTTTTTCTTCTATATAAAGGTATGTGTAAAGCTGGTTTCGCCGGTGATGATGCTCCTCGATCAGTATTTCCTTCAGTTGTTGGTCGACCACGTCATCAAGCTGTTATGGTTGGTATGGGTCAAAAAGATTCATATGTTGGAGATGAAGCTCAATCAAAACGTGGTATCTTAACTCTTAAATATCCAATTGAGCACGGTATCATTACTAACTGGGATGATATTGAAAAAATCTGGCATCATACCTTTTACAATGAACTTCGTGTTGCACCTGAAGAACATCCAGTTCTTTTAACCGAAGCTCCACTTAATCCAAAGGCCAATCGTGAAAAAATGACACAGATCATGTTTGAAACATTCAATTCACCTGGTAAATTATATTATTATTGATTTTTTTTACAAATTTCTTATCTCTTTTATTTTCTTCTTTGTAGCTATGTATGTTGCTATTCAAGCTGTACTTTCACTCTATGCTAGTGGTCGTACTACTGGTATCGTTCTTGATTCAGGTGATGGTGTTACTCACGATGTACCTATCTATGAAGGTAAATAAATACAAATTTATTTGTTTATATATATATATATAAACGTCTTATATTATTGTTTAGGTTATGCTCTTCCTCATGCCATCCTTCGTCTCGATTTGGCTGGTCGTGATTTAACTGATTATTTGATGAAAATTCTCACTGAACGTGGTTATTCATTTGTAACAACCGCTGAACGTGAAATTGTTCGTGACATCAAAGAAAAATTATGCTATGTTGCACTTGACTTTGAACAAGAAATGGCAACAGCTGCATCAACATCATCACTTGAAAAAAGTTACGAATTACCTGATGGTCAAGTTATTACCATTGGTAACGAACGTTTCCGTTGCCCTGAATCACTCTTTCAACCCTCATTTTTGGTATGTTTTTTTATTGTTGAAAATATTTTTTTTGTAAAATTATTTTCTATCTTAGGGTATGGAAGTTGCTGGTATCCATGAAACAACATTTAATTCAATCATGAAATGTGACATTGATATCCGTAAAGATTTATATGCTAATACTGTCTTATCAGGAGGTAAAAATTTAAATATTTTTCTCATATATAGATTATTTTATTTTATTTTATCTATATAGGTACTTCAATGTACCCTGGTATTGCTGATCGTATGCAAAAGGAAATTACAGCTTTAGCTCCATCAACCATGAAAATCAAAATTATTGCTCCACCTGAACGTAAATATTCAGTATGGATTGGTGGTTCAATCTTAGCTTCACTCTCAACCTTTCAACAAATGTGGATTTCAAAACAAGAATATGATGAAGCTGGTCCATCAATTGTTCACCGTAAATGCTTCTAAACATAGAAACAACTTCATTAAACAGTATAAACACAAACATAAACTCTTTTTCTTTCTGTCTTACTTTCTTCTTTCTTTCTTTTTTCATAAGCTGATTTTCTGGTGCTAAGTATATGTTCACTAATTCTCTTCTTCTTTAATAAACCTTTTGCTCATATGCATTTATTTTAATTTATGGCGCTTGATAGAAAGAAAACAAAATAGTTCAGAAAGAAAAAAGAATAACCATGAATAATAATAATAATTGGATATTAGGTATTATTAATCGACCATATAAATTGCAACGTTGTGATACATATGATAAACATCATTTACTTGTGCCTGGTGATCTTATTGAATATGTTCGAGGACCTTTTTCACATTGGGCTATTTATCTTGGCTATAATCAAATAGCTCATTTACCAGGACCATCAAATCTCTTTGCTAATTTTCAGGTTGAATACTTCTTTTATTATTCAATGCATCTATCGTATATATATGCGTAGATATGCCAAACAATATGGCGAATATTATCAGGTCATTGGATCGAACCGATGCAAATTGAAATACGTGATTTCAATAGTATTTTATCATCATCAATTGCATATATAAATAATAGTAAAGATAGTTTATTTCATCCATTATCAAATGATGAAATTCTTCAACGAGCTCATGATGCAATTGGATTTGCTGGTTATGATCTATTATTCAATAATTGCGAACATTTTGCTCATTGGTGTCGGTTCGTTAATTATTCTTTTGATAATATAAATATTTATCTCATTTTATTTTAAGATATGGTATTGCTATGAGTGATCAAGTATTTAGTTTTTTCTCATTAATATCAGCTGTTGGTCTTATGATATGTTTTGCATCATGGACAAAATTTATTTCTAAATATCAAATTTCTATTGCAAGTGGTATTCTTTTAGGTACTGCTCTATTTGCTTCGACTATGTATCGAAATTAATTATTTCATTAAAACTTTTCTCAAACAATCAGAAATGATACAATGTTACATTCTGAATTTTTTTAATAAATATTGTTGAAATAAACGAAAAAGGTTAAATAGAAGTAGAACTAACAAAAAACGTTGTACTAAAAATATTTAATGCTGTCATCACATATATTTTTAATTGATTGGATTTCTAGTTTAACTCCATACATCTTGTGAATATCGCCCTTTTTGTGTAAGTTCTTTAACAAATGCAGTTGCACGTTCGGGTGTCATTTCACCGTATGTTTGTGAAATATCTATTAAAATAGAATGCACATCTCTAGCCATATTTTTTGCATCACTATATAAAATTAAAAATAGAAAAAGAATAGAATAAATAAGAATAAATGACGTCTTCTTACCCACAAACATATAATGAAGCATTTTGGTCTTTAATTAATTTCCATATTTTTTCACCATGTTTTTTTAATAAATGTGTAACATAAATTTTTTCTTCTTGATCACGTGAAAACGCAACATATAATTCAAGAACTTTTTCGTCAACAAAATATTTTAATTCATCTCGGTATAAATAATCTTCAGCGTGATTTCGACAACCATAATAAAGTATTGTTTCACCAATTGGTTTACCTTGTGTTTTAAAATAATGACGTTCTTGTATAAAACCACGAAATGGTGCTAAACCAGTTCCAGGACCTAATCAAAACAAAATGTTAAAGATCGATTGAAATAAAGAAAAAAAGCAAATTAAATACAAACCAATCATAATAATTGGTGTTTGGAATTTAAATGGTAAACGGAATGTTGATTTACGAATATAAATAGGAAAACGGCCGGCTATATCACAACCATTTTCTTCTTTATTATGTTGGCCATGTCCTAGTGCATGATGTTTTGTATATAATTCTTGAAAACAATTCGTTGCAACGCCTTTAACAGTACGTTTTGTTGGTGTTTCATAATGAACAATAACAGCGGTTACATGTACACATGTTGGATGTACTTTTGGTGATGATGATATGGAATAATAACGTGGATGTAAACGTGGTAATAATTCACATAGATGATCAAGTGGTGGTTTTAATGATGGTAAATCTTCAAGAATATGAACAACTGAACGATAACCATCAAGTACCCATTCTTTATATTTAACCTATTCAATAAATATTCTCCCGAAAACTAAAATAAATCATTATTATAATTATACCTTTCCTTCTTCACTATATGAACCCATTAATGTTAATAGAGCTTTGTCATTTTCTTCTGTCGCATATTGCGCAATATCTTTGAGTATTTGTGTATTTAGAATACTTGTTAAATCTAAATAATATGTTAATGCTGTACGATAACTGCATGGACAAGGAAATGGATTTTTCTTTTGTGCATCCTCTATCGAAGAAAAAAACAAGTATAGTAATAAGTAATTTTTCTCTTTAAAATTTACCATCCACATTAACAAGTGAAATAACTTCATCAAGATTTGCATTAAGCAATTCACCGATTCTATTAACTAAAACTACATCATTCGATGGAAACACAGCTACATGATCACCTGCTTCATATCTAATTAATAATTAAAACGAAAATTTTCAATATTTTATTATTTTTCACAGAAAGAAATATATTTTTCTACTTAATACGTGTATTTGATATATCCAATTCAAGATGTAAACAAGATCGTAAACAACCTTCTTCAAATAATTCACGGCTAGCAAGAACTGGTGCTAAATATGGATTACGAAGATCAAAGGGTCTGTTATTAAGAGAAAAAAAATAATTTATTAATTTTTCGAAACAAATAAACATACGGTTTTTGTTTTTCATATGATTTTATTCGACCTATTTCACCGGTAAAAACAGTCTCAGGTGGAAATGGACCATCAACAAGTTTATATTGTCGCATACTAATAAATCTATATTTAAAAAATATCAAAATATATTAAAGAAAACATACGAGCTTCCATCAGCATTGATAACTAATTCATATTTTTGACAAACATTTTCCCAAAATGTAGTTGTCCATGCCATGAAATCATCCTCAATACTTAAAGAAAATTTTCTTCTAAATCCGAACAAATATCTCAACATACTTTCCATCGTCATCACCGAGGCCAACTTCACATATACGAACACCTCCTAATTCATCTAAACGTTTATCAACATTTTTTCCTATAGCATTGTAATGCTCATATGTTTTATTTCCAAGACCAAATACCTGTCAAAAAGCAAAACTTTTCTATATTTATATTATTTCAATTCAAATTTACAGCATAATGTAAATTTTGTAATTCGCGTCCATCTTCTCGTAACCATTCATAAAATTCTTGAGCATTATCAGTTGGATCACCTTCACCATATGTTGCCAAACAAAACACAGCTAAATGTTTATCAATTGCTATCAAACGTTGTAATTCTTCCTAGAAATATAAAATATTCTAAAAATTAATTAAACAAACTATTAAAATAACAAACCATATCACATTCTTCAGGATCACAAACTGCTGCAGAAATTCCATAACGTTTTGCTTGTTTAGCCATACGTTGAGCAAAATCTTCAGCTGTACCAGTTTGCGAACCATAAAATACAACCATAGTCTTTCCAGAATGTAACATTCGATCTACGAAACTACCCTCGTGAGATGCTATTGATGGTTTACCCACTAATTCATTTCTATCATATAGAAATAAATAAATAAAAATTAGTTTTCAAAAAATAAACAAAATAATTTACCCTGGTCTCAAAGGTCTGATTGTTTTTAAGATATCATTTGAATTATTAGAAGAGGATAAACGTGGTTTAAGCCAAAACCAATAAATACCAATCACCGTTATAATTGATACAACTATAGTAGAAGTTATATCAAAGGCAAGAAAAGGTATAAATCCCATGTTTAGGCTCAGGAATAGATCTAAAAAGAGAATATTAAATAAGTACATATCTATATATAAATTAGATTTGTTTCAGTGCTTTTTCTTCTTTCTTAAGAAAAGTTTTATTTTCATAGTATAAAACAGTGATGTGTCATAGTACAAACTTCACGTGCAAATATGTTTTCTATCACCTTATGTGTTCTCTTCTTTTTATCGTTTATCAAGGTGACACATATGAAAACAAGTAATTTCTGGATATTTTTCTTATTTATAGATTATTCATTGATTAATTGACACAAAACAATCATACTCTGTTTAAATGAGATTCCACATCCATACATAATGAAAATTATAAAAAACCAAATATCAGAATAAAGTATAGAGAACATCGATAAAAATAGTTTTTTTTTAATAAACAATTGACCATATAGTTGATTTTTCACATGAAATACCTTCATTATTACCACATAATCGATTAAATGTTGAATCTTGTTCAAAACCAAATATTTCTCGATCTTCTTGAATACGAAAACTAAATGTTGATTCATAACTTCCTAGAAAATAACGTGCATGTGCACATATCCATTGATCAACAATTGCTTTTCCACCATCTAAAATTTTTTCCAAAATTTTTTCATCTGGTCTATAAGTATATATCTGATTCGTAGATATATTACATATATTATATGCATATTGACGAAGTTCATCAATTTCATTCTCATCAGCATCTGTTGCAATAAAAACAAGTGAGAGATTTAAACGATTAAGATGATAACATAATTGTTTTGCAGCATGTTCAAGTGATGGAATATGTCCTGGACGTGCTTGTACATAATCACGACGACGAAGATGAATACCAAGATATGGACCACCAAGTGCTTGACCATGATGACGTTTCATTTTAGTCCAATCATCAATAAGTATAGTACGATCATGTATATCAATAGAATTTAAATAATCAGCACGAAAACGATTACCTGGAAAAAGAAGAATTAATTGTGAAATCATTCTTAGAATTTCTCACCAAGATTTATTAATCGTCTTGCATATCGCATACTACGTCGTGCTCGCCAATAATTATAACCACCATAATCAACGTGTAGTAATGTTTCAGCTCGATCAAACATAATACTTTTTATTAGATTTTCATTATTAACATCTTGTGGCCATGTTAAATTTTTTATAATATGATCAGCAAGTATAGTAACAAAGCCTTGAGCAGAGAGACAATCAAATTGTTTAGCACGTACACGATCTTGATAACCAAAAAACCATCCATGATAATAATTATCATCTTTTTTTTCATAGGATACTTCTTCATTACATTTACGTATTTCTAATTTTTCTTCAAAATTTTCTCCCCATCCTTCACTAAAATGTTGTAGATTATATACATATGGAATAGTGATCATTGATTTTGATGATGATAAATGCAGAAAATCTTCAAATTCAATAATAGGTATAAAATGAGAAAGACTTTTTATATCAAAAAATAATGACCATGATAATTGACTACGTTGAAGATTATAAGATAACCAATGATAATGTGGTCCCCATGGTGGAAGAACAAGAATCCAATTCGATTCAGGTAATGTACGTTCACGAAGTGTATTAAGAAGATTAGCCATTCTTATATATACATCACGACGTAAATTAAAACCTTCTCCATGATTAACATCGTACAATAGATAATATGTAGACGATGTTAACGAAGCACAAGAATCTTTTGTACATTGTTCATTATTTTTATCAGACAATAAATGACAAGATTGGAAGACAAACAAAAGAATTAATAAGAACAACATTCAGTCTGAAATATAGATATTCTATCTTGAAGTTTTTCTTTTTCTTTTCTTTTTTTGAGATGATCAAACCTATCGTTTATTAATAAATGAGATTAAAAAAAAGAACACAAACAAACGAGGATTGCACATGCACAGGGTTTTTGTTTATCAATGATTAAAAGTGACTAATTTTGCTTTGTCGGTTTATATTGATGCCAACTATGTAATAAAATATTGGCCATATATAAACTAAATGCATGAATTTGTACTGTTATTATTAGAAATATATACCAAAGTACTAATAATGGAAAACCAAGAAATGTTTGTGGTTCAACTTCTTCTAATTGATGATTAGTTTTTAATTTTTTAAATGTAAATAATTCACTTAAATTAAGTATAATCGTTGTTAGAATTGTACCTAAACCAAATATAACTGTACCACGAAAAAATGTTTTCATTAAAAAACTATCATTTCGATTCATTGATAAAAGACCACAGATTGATGGTAAGACAGTAATGAGCCATACATATTGCCAGAAATGCGGACGTGGTATATTAAGTGTTGTTATAAATGGTAAATGATATGTTAAAATTTGAAAGAATACAAGACAAGCAAGTAATAAATGAAGATAAATTAATATACGAAGACGTGATTTTGTTTCTGTACTAATACGATAATGCGGAGCAATACGTTCACGATGTTGAAAATCACTACCATCAGTACCGGCAATACGTTGTGAACCTGGAAGAGACATCTGAAGTAGAAGAGAGAGAAATACAAAAAGCAAGATTAACGATGTCAGAAATCATACAATCGAATAAATTTTTGATCTTTAAGGTAATCGTAATAAACAGAAAACATTATCACAAAATAAGGATTGACTACAACAATGATAAGGGGAGAGGAAAAAAAGAAATTTAAATTCGTTTGTTTTCACTTGTTCGTGAATTACTAGGTTCATTCGTTGTTGAATCAAATGTCATTCCATCACCATATGCTGGTGATGATATAAGTGGAGAAAATAAAACACAATACCATCGTCGACCAAAAATAATTTCTAGATTTGATTGTAAATCTTTTTGACCACTATATATCTGAATATTTTTGCCATGCTCATGCCATGTTTGACCATTCATAATAAGATACATTTGTTGAATAATTAGAAATAATATATAAAGACTTAGAACAATTGATGTTGAACAAATAAATGAAAGTAAGAGAGAGAAATGATCAAGAACACGAAATAACCATGCACCAAATGGAAAAAGACAAGCTAGAAAAAGAATGAAAATATTATTGATAAATATCGTAGTATTAAAAGAATCTATAAAAACTACACAATGTAAACATCTGTTTTTCTCATTTGTTCTTCGCTTAGTCAATATAGGAAGATGTTTATATAAGTAATCCATAAATAGGTCATGTATTCCTTAAGCAAAATAAGACATAATTTGCTTTCTATGATTCCTTAAGCTCTCGTCTATTTAGCTAATCTTCACGTACCAACAATAACACGCCATGAAAAAGTTCCAACAAGCTCATAGGTATAATCCACATGAAGAATATTACAATAGAATAAACCGATCTAAAAGAAAATAAAATTCGTATTTGGAGAGATGAAAAAAGACGAAAGTCAATTACCCATGTCCAAATAAGAAAACACATATAATAACGGATGTTTCGAAAACCAATACATCGACCAAGAAATGAACAATGATGATCACGTTTTAAAATACATTTTTTACATAAATGACAATGTTGAGATCGTGGTGGAACATTAACTTCACATCGATGACAATAATGCCAATTACAATGTTGATAAATCATTTCTTGATGTGTATTTGTTGATGATTGTGATGCTGTTATATTTGGTGATGGTAATAGAACAGGACATATAATTGTATCAATTGATGTATCACTTGCCATACATAAAAATAAATTTCCAATTAAATTAAAAATAATATAAAGTCCAAATATAAGATGACAAATTTCTTTATATGTAAATATATTATTATATATAGCCGGTAAAATAACATATAATTCGAATATAACATATACACAAATAAGAAATAAAACAAAAAATATTGGAATTAATTCACCACGATCTTTTGGTATTAATAATTTGACTTTACGATTAACCATTCTTTGTTTTAATCTTTCAATCTAAAAATATATTCAGATATATATATGAAAGAATAATTTCAATAAAAAATAATCTGCTCATTTGTAATATTAAAATTAATAATTGAAATCTTTTAATATACATGTACTTTATTAACCCTCGTACGACGTATGGGGGTGCAACAATACCTATAACACTTTTCTTGTTCTCTTAAAACATTTAATTAGGAACGTTTTCATATATCAAGACTCATACGATCGTATTTATGTCTCAAGAAAATGATGATACGGTCTGTCCATGTAAAACATGATTCCATCACGCTTTGTTGGTTTCATTACGCATAAACGACTTAGTATCTAGCATCGAATGCATTTTTGATTTCAAAACAAAACTATTCAATAGAAGGGAATGAATGTGAACGCTGTATAGATAGTAATATTATTCTATGTTAGTAGCGGTCACATGTTCATCATCTACACTAGTATTTACAATTATAATTGAACGATAAAAGGTCTAGATAAGTTTCGTTACATTTATTCAAAGCCGAGCGTAAATATATGTCTCTTATCTCCAAAAAGGTTACATAATTTCTCTACTTTAAATTGAAAAATGGCGTGATAGTTATTACGAGTAGATAAATCAGTACTTATTCTAGGATTAACGCGAAAAAACGACATTCACTCATATCTATGTATCTTTCCGAAAAATTCAAAATAAAATTTCTATGAAATAAAAAATGAAAATAATAGTTCACCATAAATATGGTCAATTATTCAAATACTTTTCTTATATATGCAAACAAAACAAATGACAACAACCATGATGATGATGATGATGTTTCATACACACAAAAAGAAAGAAGAGACAAAAATACATGTAGAAAAGAGAGAACAAATGAGATGTTTTCAAATGATGTTAATACATATGAAAGGAAACGGTTTTTTTAATCTTCAATTATAATCGATCAGGGAAAAATAAACAATGTATACACAAAAAACAAACAAATACACACATACGAACAAGAATAAACACCGATCCAAAAAGAAAACAAAAAAAAAACACGATGAGTTCTTGGATATACGAAAAGAAAAATGAACGTAGCGTGTGTGTGTGATATGATGTTTGTAAAAATAAAAAAAATAGCTGTCGTCATTGTTTTGAAATCTCATTTTCTATAATTAAACTTAGTTTATTTCTTTTTCTTTTTCATTTTCATCTAATTATTGCTTATTGAATGTGTTGATAAACAAAAATCTTGAGCATTTGGATCGAGATTGGATGTTGCATTTTGTAATGGTGGTGGTGGTGTAACAGCAGTTGGTGGATAAAACATATTTGATGAACATGTTGTTGTCGGATTATTATTCGTATCAATTAATTGATGTGTCGGTGATGAATGTCCAGATGATGTCGAACAATGAGAATGAGGATGACCATTAAATATACAATTAGGTGTCGAATGTTGAGATTGTAATGCAGCAATAAGTTCACGTTCTTTTTCTCTAACTGCATCTAGAAATTGCAGAAAAAAAACAAAATTATAAAACTCATCTCGTGTTATAGAATAAGTAATACAAACTATTCGCAATTTCAAGTTGTCGTTTAACTTCTCCAAGTGCAGAAAAGAGATCAAGTTTAATTCGAGTTTCCGCACTAAGATTATCTTGTAATTGAGCATTACGTTCTCGTAATTGTGTTACATGTTGAAACAATACTTCAGTATCTGCTTGTGATTCACGATACTTAAGAGTCTACAAAAAGAGAAAAATAAAGAAAATTCTAAATGAGAATTTATTTTGTTTTACTTTGATTTCAGTATCTAACAATTTAATTCGTTCATCTTTGTCATTAAGTAATCGACGTATATCACGTGTTTCATTCTCTAGATCACGTTTTCGTTTTAAACATTGTTCTGTACATTCATTTCTATATAAGAAAAATAAAATAAATTTGTATTTGTTTTTTTAAATCAAAAGCAAACAAACTTTGTTGGTGTTAAAGTTAATTTTGTTAGATCATCTTGAAGTTTTTTAGTTACAGTTTTTTCTGTTTTTATTTGTGTTTCTAAACGTTGTTTATTTTGTCGTTCATCACTTAAATTTCGTTCAAGATCAACTAAACGTTGTTTATCACGTTGCCGTTGATTATTAACAGAATCATATCTAATTTTATTACAAAAAAAAAATTAAAAGGAAATTTCAATAATTACGACTAACTTTGTTTTTAAATCATTATTTTCTATACGTATGTCTTCAAGATCTTTTCGAAGAGTTTTTAAATCCGTTATTTGTGTACGTAATTGTGTTTCTGCTGATTTTTGTTTTTCAACTGTTTGATTTAATCGTTGTACATCGGCTTCTAATTTATTTATTTGAAGACTAAAAATCAAGAAAATTAATATTTAATTGTTTGTAAAATTCCATACACTAACTTTTTTTCTATATCTGAATTTTCATTTGATGTATTCATCCCAAAACCATTAACATATGAAGTTGATGAATCACGTGATATTGTTTGAGGTTGTTCTTGTTTTTTTGATTGTCGTCGACTTTGTGTATTATTCGTTGTTGGTTGTGTAATTGAAGATTTTTGTGATTGTTTCTTTTGTTGTTGATTTGTAGTATTAAGATTTGTTGATATTGAATTCTGTTTTTGTTGTTTATAAGGTAATGAACCATCATCATGTCCATTAGTTGTTGTCATTGTTTGAATTTTATTATTACGCGCTGCTGCCGCTGTGGTTGTTGTTGACTGTACAAATGAATTTGAATTAGATGAAGATAATCCATCAGAATGATTTAGTTTTGATGAACGTTTTGAAACTGTACAAAATGTTGATGATTGTGATTGGGAATTATTAATTGTTGAATTATTTGTTAAGGAATTGGAAATATAATTTGTAACAATAGTCGATGAAGACGGTGGAGTTGAGGGATAATTTCCATCAACATTGGATTGTGTTGTATCATCATAATTCTCGGAAAATGTACCTATTTTGAAAATATGAAATTTTGATAAAATGATTTTTGAATAGAAACCTTTCTCTCGATTTAATCGTTCTTTTTCTACTTCTTGTTGGATTTCAATTGGTAACGCTTGATTGATTAACTGAGTATATGTTTCATTCGCTTTACGTACATCACGTTGCTTCCTCTATATAATAAATCAAAGTCAATATGCTATAGAAAAGAAAAAAAGATAATTTATTACCAATCGCCATTTATACGCAAGATATGTTTTAAAACCAAAACCTAACGTTACTACTGGATAGCCGATACTATAAAAACAGATATATGCATATATATATAAGAATGGGAAATAATAAATAAGTACCAATGAGCAGCAAATGGTCGACAGAGATCGATAGTTTTAATTTCACGTAATCTTACTGATGCTTCGAGCCATACAAAAAGCACCCAGAGAACTACTGTACCAAGACAAATACCTCGTTCTAATATATATGAAAGTTTATTTAGATATTTTTTTTTAAATAAAATCGAACCTGTTTGCCAAACGTATTGTATCCAAACATAACTACTTGCAGCAAAGAATAGCCATTGAATTGGCAATAATATATAACAAATCAGATCAGTTATAAATGCAATAAATACAAAGAATATTGAAAAAAGCTAGAAAATATATATTTAATAAATATTTTCTTTCTTTAATTCTTATTTAAATATAATTGAACTAACCAATCCTTGATATTTAAATGAATCGCAAATACTTCGTAAAACAAGCCAAAATGGCCAAAGAAATTCAAATCGAAATTCAAGTAAAAAATCAGCTGCCATTATAACACCCCATATACAAATAAATTTAAGATACATTAATGCACTAAATATATATTTTATTAAAATATTGTTTATTTATTTATTTATTATTCTAGTACCTTCCATAAATACTGTCAGTAAGACGAGAACGTCGAGTAGATTTGCGAACTTTTACACTGTCGAAATTGGTTCTTCGTTTCATTTTTCAGATTAAATACAATAAATAATATTGTCATAGACAAAACTAAAATTAAGAAAAAAATATTTTCCAATTGAACAGTTACTATATAAAACAATAACAACTTTCATCAATGTAGAAGGATGGATGGATAGATTGCAACAGAACAGAATGGAAAGACGACATAAACGTCAGTTGTATGGCTCTATATTTTGACGAGCGAGAGAGATCGCTTAAGTCTATTTTCTAGATGTCACTCATTAACGATATTAAATTTTTTTTATCAAGTGGAACATAAGTAACTTTACAAACATTTTAAAGTATTATTAAATAAAATGTTTTTTTTTTTACAAAGAGTATCTTAAGAATGTCGCAATTATTATTCATAAATAAAACAAATGTGGTGACTTTTTCCGTCAGATCATTTTAGTGAATGTTTATACATTTTTAAATGATTTTGCTTTGTTTATATATTCTCAAGCTTTAATGTCTTATAACCCTGCATGAGTTATACTTAGATTTCAAATTAATCTGATCAAATAAATCCTTATTGAGTACTCAGGTGAATGAGTTTGATCAAGATTCAAATAGACAATAGAATGCAATGCGAATTTAAATCATCTAGTCACTCACATTTTAATAGAATCATGCAAGATCTTTCCGAATTCTGTCAAAACAGAACAAGTGTACGTCTATATTTTAAAAGTATACAGAAGTGCGTTTTTTAATGTATTAAAGGTATAGGTGTCAATGAGTTATATGTTACTTTAAAGAAATCTTGCATGCAATATTTGTTTTTGTTGACAAACATGAAACTCTGTCATTAATTCATAATCATTTCATTCATTGTTATCTGAATGAACCATGGCATTTGTGTATATTTATGTACGTATGGTAATGGTAAAAACTTTCTCAACATTTCGTAAATTTTTATTGTGATATAAATTTAAGACATCTTCATATGTTGTACATGTTCAGCCATTAGCGTACTAACAGATGTTATTTCTACATATCTCGTGTTCTTTCAGCTGTCCATCATATTGATCGTCAGCTGTTCATATAAGACTTTCTGTTACTTTTTGTTTGTCGTTCATCCATTTTCCAGTCAATATACTTTCATCAATATAATGATAAATTCATTTTCCGCATCTGTTGCAATTTGCATGCTCACTTTCATATTTATAGTTTTATGACTAGATAATAATACCTTGAAAAATTTGAATATTACTATACCAACCAAGTATATATTGTCTTCTACTAGTGTAATAACAGGTTTCTTGTTCTTGTTTCTTGGAATTTTTGAAATATTTTCTCATCAATATAATACTCGGTTTCTTTTTCATGTTTATTTTCATTTTCATTTATATGTATTATACATGTATATATAAATGACGTTCATTCTTTTCTAATTATATCATTCGAGCAAGATCAATTAATAATATATTTCAAAATGTGATTCTATCTCGTTTGAAGACTTGCTTATCGGCACTATCTAGCACAACAAATATAGAATATGTAATAATTTTATATAATAAATGAAAGTAATCATTCGTGCATGAACCTTTCTTCATATAAAATCATGCTTTCTAAAGTTCTCATTTTATTTCAAGCAGATAAAATAATTAATCAAAATTTTCCTAACATAAATTATTCACAATTTCTATCATGCAATCAAACTTAAAATTTGTCGATTAAAGTTCTATGCAATAATCATAATCACTATGGAGACTACCATAAATGCCATTATCTTAGTATTCTGTGATAATCTTTGATAAAAAACTATAACGATGGGTAAAAAAAAGATACATCTGAAATTAAATTTTGTGACATATGATTGCTAATGTTTTTCAAAATAATATACAACAGAGTTACAAAAACAACATGATATACGCATATGAGCAAAGAAATTTAATGCAACAAAGTAAACACTTTAAAAATTACATGAATCTATTTCATTTCTTGAATGACTAGTGTAGTATTATATATTTTGGTGAATGTTTCAATTAATTCAAGCATGGTTAGCTCCAGGCAACTGTTGTATGGATAGTATTTTGCTTCACCTTACAAATGATCAGTGCAAAAAGTTTTTGTTTTAGTCCGGGCAGTGTTATAACAGTAGCATAGGGCATAGCTATAGATGGAACGTTTGTTAGAGGTAAAAAATATCGGATAACATTGATGCCGAAACTAGAAAATCCCAAACTTTTACCGAAATAAATAATGGTATAAGGAAGATTAAAAATAACAAAGGTAACAGAGATGAAAATAAATTGTATGATCATTTTTCGGTATTTACGCCATTCATTAACTTGCCGTAAACGACGTTTTTGTATAACAATACGAAGAAGAAGGGCAGCACCAAAAACAACAATAATCACGATTGGCATGATATCATGAGCAATTGACATATACTGTGCAAATGAATCAGATATTGAACCCCAAAAACAGGCATCTCCACATAGAATCTGAGTACCATCGTAAATATGCTCACAAGGATAAACAAAGATCAAATAAGCATAGAGAATTGGTGCATAGAGAGAAAACAACATAAGTGGTATATAGTGAAATAACAAACGTCCACGCGCTGTAACAACTCGAGTTGAATGAAATATTAGAATATGTCGCTCGATCGATATCCATACCATTGAGAACGTAGCGCCATACCAAATTCCATAGATTACAAATTGATTTATTAAACAAAAAGCAGGAGTTAGTGGTGTTATGAATCCTAGTCTTAGATAACTCATTTGCATTGGCAGACCTATTATGAGGAAAATAAAGTTTAAAAGTAGCATGACAATAACGGCATGATTGTGAAGAACTTTGCGTGCAGCTCGTTTATTCATTAGATGAAACATTACGAACAAATAACAGGGAATCGATATCAGTTGACCAAATAAGAATAGTCCGAATTTAGTCTCTGACCAACTAGACGGGGATGAGACAGTTTGAACGCTTATGTTGCTCATACCTATGTAGTTAGTAGTCAGTATTAGAAGTGAATATTATGTGAGTTAAGAATTTAGCTATGTGAATATGTTGAAAGAGAAGTCGCATTCTCTTCGTCTCGTTATGGTGATATGCTCGAATACACAACTCGTTTCTCTTTATGAGAAGATCAAAAAGATCAAAAAGTATATTTATCATCCAATTATAATCATCACAGGAGTAGAAGTACCCAGTATTCAGAACAATTAAGAGTCGCATATTTTTCTTATTTCTAGATTGTCATACATTTTTACAAATGTTAAAAAGCGAACTGTTGTTGGTACGGTTCTATGTTAATATCTGCTCTAGTGATGCCTATACAAAGAATACTATGCACATCGTTTTTGATATTTGAAGCTAGACAGCTATATTAATGTGTCATGAGAGACATTCATTCTATGTGTTCAACAAACTAATTGTATTCTCTTAACTATAGGATAAATATTAGATCAGTTATTTTGAAGATGTGCAAGAATCGTTAGAAGAAGAAATAAAAATGGAGATTAATCTTGAAGATGACTTGTAAGCTATCTTAATATATATACGTGTAGAGTTCAATCTTCTATTATTGAAAAACGTTGTCTAAAGGTCTTTAATTAGATAATCTTCAGTTTATTGGTATAACTAGATTGAGAAACAAACATCTTTGTCGATATTGATAAACTAGTATCAATTTGATCAGTCATTTCAAAGAAATCCGTTATACCAAATGATGAAAAATATATGGTTTCAACTGTTACATAGAATCGAATGTTTATACCAAGCATAATATTATGATCGTTGTGATAACTACTGTAGACTAATATGAATTTTCGAGTTTGTGCTTTGATCCTGAAGAGTATTGAATTATAGCCAAGAAATTCTTTAATATCTTTAAATGAACTAAATCACTATCAAGTAACTTAATCATCTGTCTTGTTGTTCATACAAACATCAAGATTAACGTAAGATAATATCCTTCTTTTATTGAAAAAAATAATTGAAAGACTATGTACTCAACTTAGATACAATCATAATATTGTTTTACTTATACTACGGATTTATCTTATTTTCTCTTTCATCTTTGATTGGCTGGATCTACATTTTTTAAAATAAATTTTAACAAGAGAATAAATAAATGAATTTAAACATGACGAAAACGTTTTTTGTCATAAACATCAAATATGACGTCAAGATAATCCGGTATACAAAAGTAGAATATTTACGTAAGAATAACATCAGACGTTCAAATAAGAAGATCAAATTTCAAAAATGTCTATCATATAAATAATATGATTATAGAGTATAATTAATTTATTTGATAATTTCTTTTTTTTGGATAAGTGATACATTTTCTCGAATTAATAAGTATTTCACATTTTAATGAATTTGATAATATTTAATCAATCAGAAAAAAAGATATATTTGATAAGATTAATCTAGTCGAATGGTTTTGTCAGTCTATATGCAATTACTATTCTAAATGAATGATTTTATTCCAGTTGAAACCTTGAAGTCGTCATATAAATTTCTCGATTTATTTCACCATGAATTTTAATCTATATCGAATATTGATTTGTAATATCAATTCTAATGAAATCATATTTGACTATTAACAAATACTGATGAGTATTTACATAATTCTCGTATAAAGTTATTTTACTTTGTGATATCTTAATACGTACATTATTGTGCCAGATGAACTTACAAGAAACGAAATAGTCATTACGAAGCGGATAGAATGATAAATACAGTTTTTTTGCTTGTATAGACTTAATAATGGAAAAGTAAGATTTTTCATTAAATTTGAATTTTGACGAATCAAATATTTAGTTTAAATGTTAATAAATACGAACAGCTGCATAAGAAAAACATATTAATGAGAAACTACCGAAAAAAAGAGAACGTAAATAACAGAGTCCTTGAATAAAAAGACCCGATCATTTTCTTGTTTAAAGCAACATTGTATATAAAATACAATACTATAACCTTGAGTTAATGAGATCTATATAATAGTTTTCACTTTATTCATCATATGCATCATTAGTAATACGTCAACCTGTATGTGTTTACCACATAAGAATGAATATACAACCGATTTCTATTACATATCCAGACATTCTAAACAACTTTAATAAAAAAAAACGAATAAAATTTATGTATTAACAAAATGACATTTGACATGTATGATTATTAACGCGAGATAATTTCATATAATATATGTTTTATTTGTGAGAGATATAAATTCAGATAATAATATTATCTAAAGTTGCATTAAATTGCTTTTTTTTACAAAATGAATTGCTTTGATAATTTGAATTATATTTTGTACTAAATTTGTTGTGTTATATAATGTAATCGAAGTGATTTTATATATTACCTAAAACAAAATCATTATAAACGTTTCGTAATAGACTTTGTATATAAAATGATTGTTTTGAGAATTGACGATTTCTTCAAGTAGAAATAATTCATAGAGACTGGCGCACTCATGCAATAATATTTAGATAACAAATTTAAAACTGGCGGTCATTATCATCACAGTCGATCTGTGAGACATATAAATTGATAACATCATTAACTTAAACTATATATATATATATAAAGATGAAATGTCAAACGTGATTTGAGATAAATCCGTTAATATTTATATGAGCGTAATTTAATATTTCACATTTAAACAAAGAAAAAAAAGACAACAGAATAAATTGTATTAGACAAAAAAATGCGTATTAGAAACTTAGAGCAAACATTTGTATAATCAAAAAAAATTGAAGACAAAAAAGAAAACACTCTGTTTAATATGCGTTATATTTACAGAAACAAAAAACACAGATAGTCACATGTATGTATCTGCTCAACGAGATTTTGCGACAAAAACTTAATTTTTTTTTTCAATAAAGTTCGTTTTCTATTTTTCAAACAATGTAATACTGTTTGATATTAGACATTTTTAGGTATAGCATACATACTTGACTCATAATCTGTTTCAGGTTGAACTGGTCGTTCATTATTTGGATTAATAACATCATAAATAACTTCTTCATCGTCTTGATCACCTTTAGATTCTTCAATTGGTTGTTGTTGTTGTGGTTGTGGTTGATTTAAATCAACATATTCATATAGAAGAGAATTATTATCATTTTTTTGTGAAGCATTTGATTTTGCTAAAGGATCTTGAGAATAAATATTAGAATTCGAATTTAATTCATTATCAATTTGTTCTTTTGAATTAAATTTTCTTTCTGTACGTCGATAAGCTGAATATGGTGATGGACATGTTTTAAGATTTTCAATAAAAATTTGTTTTTCTTGACTTTCACGTCTTTCATTTATATTTACATGTTTTAATGTTGGTGTTTGAACAAATTTATTATCATAATCATTCATTTTTTGATATTTTTCATCGTTATTCATTGATGATACATCAAGTTTTGACTGTACTGTTGTATTTAATGTAGCTTCATCACTATTATCCGTTGTATTAAGTGTAACATTTTTTGTTCGAGTAGGAAAAAATGAATTAAATGTATCACTTAAATATCGAATACGACGATCATTACGACTAAAAATAAATAAGATATAAATAAGCAATACAAAAGATTGAATTTTTCAAACCGTTTATAAAGTATAAATGCACAGAGAATAACAAAAAGTATACCGGATAGAAGAATAACAAGTAAAGTTAAACCAGTATTACCTTAAAAATAAGAAATTTATTGAAATTGTTTTTATTTATTAGAAAATTTATAAATTTACTTTGATGTTGATGATCATTTGATACAAGAGCAGACGTTTTTGATGCAACTAAAGGTATTGATTCTTCCTTATTTGAAAGAATAATTGGAACAATCGTGGATGTTTGTTCTGTTGTTGTAGTTGTAGTCATTGGCGTTGTTGTTGGTCGAGTACCACGAATTGGTGTTACTAAAGATATTTAAATGAAAATTATATCGTAGAGTATATCTTTCATTGAGAATGAAGGTTTAATTTTCTATCAAAAAATGTGCGCAATTTAGCCTTTAAACTTGGACATTTGATTTCACAGTTGTTTTTCCTTGAATGTTGACTCTAAGAAATTTTCTCTCTTCATAATCTGATGATAGGTTGGTCATGGTCAGCATCTCTTCACTTTTATTCTCTTGAAAAATTCGTCTACGAAGCTGAAAGATTTTGTTTATTTTTCTCCGTTAAAATTCCCTATAAGGCTCACTTTCCTTCGCCTGTCTTATGCTCTTCAAACTTCTAGATTATATTTATCTATTATGTCTGCATTTAAAAGGATTTATAACAAATCCATAAAAAATATCGGGGTCATTGATTTTATGTAAATTTATATGTGTTGTATTTACCAATAAAATAGAGTAAGAAACCATTATACGGTCGTTTTGTATTAGCAAAATCGGATTTAAACATTAATGATGCTTCAATAATATCATCAAATAAGAGAGTATATGCTGGTCGTGTACCAAACATTTTCTCTCCACTATTATTGATTTGTAACCAATCATTAACACGCTTAACACCCAATAGTCTAAGAACACTTAAACCTTCTATATCAAAATCCAAAGCATAAACTTTCAATCTATATAAAATAAAAAATATCTAATTTTATTTTTTCAAAAATACAAAGATTTAATTACCGATGACCATCATCTGGTGATGGTACTGTTTTTGAACATGCACGATTATTTGGATAACCACTTGGATAATTTGGTGTATGAATAAAACCTTCTGTTACACCATGAAGTGATTGTAATGAACATATATCAATACGAGGTAATTTACTCGAATAAAAATCTTGAAAAAAAAATAACAAGTTTTAAATTAAAAGAAAATAAATTATATAACAACATACCAGGTATACATGAATAATCAATATTAATACTTTGTCCCTTAAATGCACAGTTAGCTTGTTTACCAATAAAAAATGATGGTCGCTGTCCAAGGTTATTATCTATTGTACAATTTTGTTGTCCGTTACATAAACTATTTGCACGGTCTCGATAATAACCAATACAACGCGATGGTGCATAAATAGAAGTATCATCTTTTTCCTCATGAAAACTTGGACATTCCGATGAATAAGCTACTTCCAATATGATTAATTTTGTAGCTTCAGGACATTTTAATGTAACGGATGTTTCACATGTAAAACCAGTTTGTAATGAATCTAGATAAAAATATGATTTTTTTAAAATATAAAAATTTTAAATTTTAATTAAAAACTTACATGAATATTGAAATAAAGTAAATGTAATAAGTACGATACAGTACATAAGAATCATTTTATCTGAAATCTGGACAAAAAAAATGATTAATTAAATTCATATGCTTTCGATATGTGTATAAATGAGAAGTATTTTATTCGATACATACTATCGTATATAAATGTACGCAGTTTTCGTTCTTGATAACACTAGCTTTTATATTAACTTGAGTAGAATAATCACGAAAGAAAAACAATGCAATTGATCATGTCACTTTCTCTCTCTCTGTCGGGTGTCTCGAACGCTCGTATTCTTTGTACATGGTTTCGCGAAAAAAAAGAAGAGAAAAAGAGAAGAAATGAGTCGATACGACTATAAAATACAATATACAGAAGAGAAGTGTTGACTAGGGGGTGCAAAAGAAGAGAATGACGTTGTTGGTATTAATTGAATATAAAGAACGACGAAGAAAAAAAGATGGAGAGAGAAAACATGTGTTTGTCTATATAATCAGTTACCTCCAAATGTTATGGAATAATCAACACTTGTTCTATCTATTAAAAAATATATATATGCTCACTTCAATGAAACAAGTCTGATCAATAATGATATATACTAGTATTGATCGTTTGGATCAATCAAAGTTTTAATCTGTTGTTGTTTGCACAAATACACGTCTATATGATCCTTCTCTGTATTTCTCATCACAACAGAAAAAGAAAAATATATAAAATGTAAATCCCCTCAGTTTAAATGAATGTGAACAACGAACGTTTAAAAAGTCTTATCTCTCACTATCAATCTCACTTGTTCTTCGTTTTTATATGCCGTTCTATTGATAACAAACGAGTGTGATGATGAAAAGTATGGAAGGCGCAGAATTTTTTGAATTGAACTTCGACAGTTCGGATTGTATACAATGCGTTCACACGGTCAACATCGATCGAGAAGAAACGAGAAGAAGAAAAAAAAAGAAGAGAAAAAGAAAGTAAAGAATGGACGGATGAATACGTACAGAACGCAAAAAAAAACAGAAAGTAAGCAGATGATAGGAGATTTTCTTCTCTCTATTACTGTTCGTAGACAAGTGAGGTCATTATAAATATAATAATAGTACAAACATAAATACCAACCATTGTTCATAGTTAAACAAGGTTATACGAAAATTACAATATATTCTTCTATTCAATAGAAAAAAGTATACATTATACGATAAATTCATTATACTGAGACTATTGGACTAGATGTCGTGATCAAATGAATAAATAGTCATTGTATTTGTTTTCAACTATTGAAAAAATATATGTTAAGATGTTACTTTCAATCAGATATAAATCACTATAGAGTTGAAGGACATGTAAAAATAATTGATAGAAATTAATTTCAACCTTTTTTACTCCTGTTCAATTATGATTGAAAATATTGAGAAAATTGCCCATGAAACCATATACAGTCTTATCATATCTGCTGTTTATTTCGTAAAACTAGAAATTGTTTACTAACAAACTGTATAATCTTTAGACAGAAATCATAATTCTAATATTACAAATATCCTTGTCAATCTTTCTTTTTTCAATAAATCATCATACAAATATATTTTATGAAACTACCAGCTGGTAATTTTTGTAAATAGCTACAATAAATATATCTATTAAAATAGTGACAATATATATATATATCTGATATTCTTCATGCCTTAGAATCTATGAATAGAACAATGACAATAATTTTGACACATTATGTGTTTATATATTTTTCGTCGCAGCAAGATGATGATGAAGACAAAAAAAAAGAGTTAGAGAGAAAACGATAGACAAAGATAGAGTCAGTGTTTTAAAAAACAGCAGAGCATACAAGAAAGAAAGATATAGAACAGCAAACAAACAATCAAACACGGAGTGTGTGTATGAAAAAAAAAGATGATGATGAAGAAGAAAGCAGTACT